CGAAGGCTCCAGTGTCAGGGTCTGCATGCGCCACCGCCACCTAGGACAGCGCTTCGCGACCCCATACGGAGCTCCACCGAAGGCTCCAGTGGCAGCGTGCGCATGCGTCACCGCCACCCAGGACAGCGCTTCGTGGCCTTAGGGAGCTCCACCGAAGGCTCCAGTGGCAGGGTCCGCATGCGTCACCGCCACCCAGGACAGCGCTTAATGGCCCCATAGGGACCTCCACCGAAGGCTCCAGTGGCAGTGTCCGCATGCGTCACCGCCACCCAGAGCAGCGCTTCGTGGCCCCATGAAGAGCTCCACCGAAGGCTTCAGTGGCAGCGTCCGCATGCGTCACCGCCACCCAGGACAGCGCTTCGTGGCCCCATGTAATGTATGGTAGCCCTGCGCACAGCAGGAAATATGCTGACACCCCCGCCGTCCCTGTCAACAAACAATACAAAGTGTCGCGGGCCCCACGAACATGACTCAAGACTTTGCCCCAAAGTGTGCTTTGCATTGTTTTTCGACGAGGATGGTGGGGGGACCGCATCGGGTTGGCCGCGCATGCTTCACACGTGGAGGCAGAGTGCGGTTTGTTTTGTTTTTTGACAGGGATGCTGGGGGGCGGGCCCTCATGGAGTCGGCATGGTTCCTGGTTGGCCGCCGGCCAGGTGGGGGAGGGGGTGCATACGAATTGCGAATAAGGAACAGTGATCAAGACACCCTCCAAGATAACAAGCCGTCTAGCTCGCTCCCAGCCGCCCTCCCAACACATAAGTAACACCCGACCCTGAGCATGTTCAGCGGTCGTCGTTGGATGGACATCTACTGGGAACCAAATACGACCCAATGTACGCGACGCTAGGGCAAGGTGCGCCACGCGTGCCAGGCGCGCCACGCGCGCCAGGCACCCCTGGGGCCCGAGCGTGCCAAGCACGCCTGGTGCACCAGATGCGCTACGTGCTCCACGTGCGCCAGGTGTGCCGCACGCATTCTCCAGACGCGCCACGTGCACCACGTTCGGGGCAGTTACAGAGTGTGTCATGTGCGTCGGCGCACGTGGCAGCACACATCTGGAAACATGTCGGCCCCCACCATCCTTGTCGAAAACCATTGCCCATCATAGTGTCTGGCGGGCCTGCACACAGCACATCCGTCACCACCCCCGCCGTTCCTGTCGAAACTATTCGACAGTGATCGCAGGGGTGGCCGCGCATGATCCAGACTTAGCCGCGAGGTGCATCTTGTATTGTTTCTGTGACAGGGACGCTGGCCCTGCGCACAGCAGGCAATATGCTAACACCCCCGCCGTCACGATCAAAAAACAATACAAAGTGCCCGCGGGCCTCGCGAACATGACTCAAGACATTGCCCCAGCGTGAATGCTGTATTGTTTTTTGACATGGACGGTGGGGGGACCCGCATCGGGTTGGTTGCGGAGGCTTCGAATGTAGAGGCAGAGTGTGCTTTGTGTTGTTGTTCGACAGGGATGGTTGGGGGGTGGGGCGCATAGGATAGGGTCGGCATTGTTCCTGGTTGGCTGCTGGTCGCCTGGGAGAGAGGGGTGTATACTAATGATACCGGAGAAAAAAACATCAGGGCTAGGGGGCTATAGGGCTATTGAGCTATAGGGCTATAGGGCTATAGAGTTGTAGGGTCATAGGGCTATTGGACTGTTGGGCTATAGGGCTATAGGGCTCCCCCGGGCACTGAGGACAACCCGTTAAACCACTCAGCCCAGAGGGCTGGTAGTATTATTGTTCGATGAACGAGTACGCGCGCATTGTATTGTTGACAGGGATGAAAAGGGGGCCGCGATAAACGGCCCAGCTGGGATGGTACGAAGTCAAATCGGAAGTGAACGAGGGGGCAGAATCATATGTAATTTGCGACGTCATATGGGGGGGACGATAACCCCGGGAGAGGGACGGGGCATTGCTTAGTTGTTCTTTTGTTGAGGACTCACCAACGCCACTAGTGAGTTGTCAACTCCAACGTCCGCGCAAACATCCCACCCTCCCACCCACAACTCCTACTGCAAAACCAAGGCAGCCGGGATTGCGATGATTGCTTGGCATTGGCTGGTGCATCTCTGCGGCCGCGCTGGCGCGCGCAAGCTCGCGCGCAGAACGGTCAGCTGGTTTGGCACAGCCGACGCGGCCGCGATGGCGTTTACTAAGGCGAACTTCACAGCGCGCCTCATAGGCCGCGCTGACGCGCGGACGCTTCAGTGAGGTTCGATGGTTCGGGAAGGTGCAATATCAGATTGACGTCGGCAACGGCGGGAACGATGATGATAGTAGCGATGGTGATGGCGATGATGATGGCGATGGCGACAGCAAGGCCGATGACGGCACCGATGCCGGTGACGCCGGTGACGGTAATGGCGGCCATGCGTCGGTGATGAAAGTTATTGATTGATGGCGGCGGCAATGGCGGCGATTGCCGATGAAGGTAACGGCGGCGATGCGGTGGCGTTGATGAGGGCGATGGTGAAGAGGTGCGCGGGCGCTGAAACTCAGGAAACTTGACCGATGTTGTTCGTGAAACATGTGGCGGTTCATAAATGTTTGAAGAGCTCCATTTCGAACCCCGTCGAGAACCAATGGTTTTGGACGGAGTCAGACGCGCGCGTGGAGGCGCGCGCGCGTGCGACACCGCCTGTGATCTGATACGGTTTCGCGCAGTGGGCGCACGCGAGGTCAACGCAGATGCATCGCGTGGCGAGACTGCTAACATAAAGTGACGAGAGTGCTAAAATACAATGGTGATTATGATACGAACGATGATGATGGTGATGATGATGATGATGATGGTGGTGATGATGATGATAATGGTGATGATAATGCTGCTGATGATGATAATGCTGCTGGTGATGATGATGATAATGCTGCTGCTGCTGCTGATGATGATGCTGCTGATGATCATGATGATGACGATGGTGATGATGATGATAATAGTGATGGCGAATGCGGGTTCTGGGCGAGATTGCGAAAATTAGCCTGACGAAGGACCCAACCATATGTAGCTGCGAGTGCCGCATTGTGGGTAGCGCTTTCGGTGGAGCCCCCTTATGGGGAACCGAAGCGTGCGAGGGGTGCGCCGAAATCGGTGGCGCGGACGCATGCGGACCCTGCCACTGGAGCCTTCGGTGGAGCTGCCTATGGGGCCCCGAAACGCTGTCCTGGGTGGCGGTGACGCATGCGGACACTGCCACTGGAGCCTTCGGTGGAGCTCCCTATGGGGCCACGAAGCGCTGCCTTGGGTGGCGGTGACGCATGCGGACACTGCCACTGGAGCCTTCGGTGGAGCTGCCCTATAGGGGCCATTAAGCGCTGTCCTGGGTGGCGGTGACGCATACGGGCAGAGCTCCCTATGGGGCCACGAAACGTTGTCCTGGGTGGCGGTGACGCATGCGGACCCTGACACTGGAGCCTTCGGTGGAGCTGCCTATGGGGCCACGAAACGCTGCCTTGGGTGGCGGTGACGCATGCGGACACTGCCACTGGAGCCTTCGGTGGAGTTGCCCTATGGAGCCCCGAAACGCTGTCCTGGGTGGCGGTGACGCATGCGGACACTGCCACTGGAGCCTTCGGTGGAGCTCCCCATGGGGCCACGAAGCGCTGCCTTGGGTGGCGGTGACGCATGCGGACCCTGCCACTGGAGCCGTCGGTGGAGCTCCCTAAGGGGCCACGAGAGGCTGTCCTGGGTGGCGGCGACGCATGCGGACCCGGCCACTGAAGCCTTCGGTGGAGCTCCCTATGGGGCCATTAAACGTTGTCTTGGGTGGCGGTGACGCATACAAACACTGCCACTGGAGCCTTCGGTGGAGCTCCCAATGGGGCCGCGAAACGCTGTCCTGGGTGGCGGTGACGCATGCGGACGCAGCCACTTGGGCCTTCGGTGAAGCTCCCTATGGGGCCACGGCACGTGTGAGGGGTGTGCCGTAATGGGTGGCGGTGACGCAGGCGTACGCAGCCACCGGGGCCTTCGGTGGAGCTCCCTATGGGGCCACGAACCGTGTGAGGGGTGTCCCGTAATGGATGGCGGTGACGCGTGAGGACGCAACCACAGGGGCGTGCGGTGGAGCTCCCTATGGGGCCACGAACCGTGTGAAGGGTGTGCCGAATTGGGTGGCGGTGACGCATGCGGACGCAGCCATTGGGGCCTTCGGTGGAGCTCCCTATGGGGCCACGAACCGTGTGAGGAGGGTGCCGTAATGGGTGGCGGTGACGCATGAGGACGCAGCCACTGGGGCCTTCGGTGGGGTTCCCTGTGGGGCCACGAACCGTGTGAGGGGTGTTCCGTAATGGGTGGCGGTGACGCATGAGGACGCAGCAACTGGGGCGTCCGGTGGAGCTCCCTATGGGGCCACGAACCGTGTGAGGGGTGTGCCGAACTGATGATGATGGTGATGGTGATGGTGATGATGATGATGATGATGATGATGATGATGATGATGATGATGATGATGATGATGCTGATAATGATGATGATGACGATGGTGATGGTGACGGTGACGCGGTGACGGTGAGGCTGATGATGGGGAGAGGGAGGGGGGGCAGCGGGAGGAAGGACGCGGGCGCTGTTTGTTCAAAACGAGGACCCAACACCACAGGATGGTTGGAAATGAAATGACTTTCCCGTGGTTTGAGCAAGACCGCGCGGGCACGAAGTTTGCAAAATGGTGGATGCAACGCCTAAGTTCTTTTTGTCCCAACCATCATGTGGTGTTGGGTCTTCGTTTTGAAGAGACAGCGCCCCGCGTTCTTTCCTTTCCTTGCTCCTCGTCTCCTCATTCCTCTCATCCGTGCTTCTGGTTTGCATACGCCCTCACCTCATCACCATCATGCGTACCCGAATCCGAGTCAGCACACCCCTCACGCGTTTCGGACCCCCATACGGAGCTCCACCGAAGGCCCCAGCTGCAAGGTCAGCATGGCGCACCCGCACCCGACTCGGCACATCCCTCACAAGCTTCGTGACAACATAGGGAGCTCCATTGAAGGCCCGAGCGGCTGGGTCCGCATGGCGCACCCGCGCACAATTCAACACACCCATCACACGTCTTTTGGCCACATATAGTGCGCTCCACCGAAGGCCCCAGCAGCAGGGTCCGCATGGCGCACCCGCACCCTATCCAGAACACCCATCACACGTTTCGTGGCCCCATGCCCCATACAGAGCTCCACCGAAGGCCCCAGCGGCACGGTCCGCATGGCGCATGCGCCCGATCCGGCACACTCCTCACAAACTTCGTGGCCCCACAGGGAGCTCTACCGAAGGCCCCAGCGGCAGGGTCCGCATGGCGCACCCGCATGCGACTCGGCACACCCTTCGCACGCTTCGTGGCCCCACGGGGAGCTCCACCGAAGGCCCCAGCGGGAGGGTCCGCATGGCGCACCCGCACCCGATTGGGCACATGCCTGACATTTTGCGTGGCCCCATAGGGAGCTCCACCGAAGGCCCCAGCGCAGGGTCCGCATGGGGCACCCGCACCCGACTCGGCACACCCCTCACGCGTTTCGTGGACCCGAAGGGAGTTCCACCGAAGGCCCCAGCGGCAGCGTCCGCATGGCGCACCTGCATCCGATTGGGCACACCCCTGACATCTCCCGTGGCCCCACAAGTGGCGTACCCGTTCCCGATTCGGCACACCCCTCACGCGTTTCGTGGCCCCATAAAGGGGCTCCACCAACGGCCCCAGCGACAGGGTCAGCATGGCGCACCCGCGCCCTATCCGGAACACCCCTCACACGCTTCGTGGCCACATGGGGAGCTCCACCGAAGGCACCAGTGGCGGGGTCAGCATGGCGCACCCGCATCCGATTCAGTACACCTCTCGCACGAGTCGAGGCCCCATAGAGGGCGTAGCCGCACCCGACTCGGCACACCCCTCACACGCTTCAGACCCCCATAGGGAGCTCCCCCGCAGGCCCCAGCGGTAGGGTCCGCATGGCACACCCACACCCGATTCAGCAAACCCCTCACACGTTTCGTGGCCCCATAGAGGGCGTAGCCGCACCCGACTCGGCACACCCCTCACACGCTTCGTGGCCCCACAGGGAGCCCCACCGAAAGCTCCAGCGGCAGGGTCAGCATGGCGTACCCGCACCCGACTCGGCACACCCCTCACACGCTTCGTGGACCCACAGGGGGGGTCCACCAAAGACCCCAGCGGCAGGGTCCGCATGGCACACCCGCATCCGATTCGGCACACCCCTTACAAGTTGTCGTGGTCCCATTGGGAGCTCCACCGTAGGCCCAAGTGGCCGCGTCCGCATGGCGCACCCGCGCCCGAGTCAGCACACACCGCACACGTTTCGTTGCCCCACAGGGAGCCCCACCGAAGGCCCCAGTGGGAGGGCCCGCACGCCGTACCCGGTCCCGATTCGGCACACCCCTCACGCGTTTCGTGGACACATAGGGAGGTCCACAGAAGGCCCCGACGGCAGGGTCTGCAAGGCGCACCCGCACCCTATCCAGCACACCTCGCACACGTTTCGCGGCCCCGAAGGGAGCTCCACCGAAGGCCCCAGGGGCAGGGTCCGAATGGTGTACCCGCGTCCGATTCGGCACACCCCTAACATTTACCGTGGCCCCACAAGGAGCTCCACCGAAGGCCTCAGCGGCAGGGTCAGCACGGCGTACCCGACTCGGCACACCCCACCCCTCACACGTTTCGTGGCCCCATAGGGGGCTCCACCCAAGGACCCAGTGGCACAGTCCGCATGGCGTACTTGTACCCTATCCGGCACACACTTCACACGTACCGTGGCCCCATAGGGAGCTCCATCCAAGGCCCGAGTGGCAGGGTCCGCATGGCGCACCCGCCCCATGTCGGCACACCCCTCACTCCTCCTCCTTTTTTTTTTCTCACTTGCCTCGCGGCACCCGCAGCTTCATATGTTTGGTGCCGTCGCCAGGATAATGATGTATGGATGGTGAAATGTTAGCCGAACCATTGTGTTTGGCATGGGCTCGACATGTGTGCGCGCATGTGGAATGTGTATAATTGTTGCACTGGGCGATTGCAAAATCACGGTTTGTGATTACCGATTGCGCGCTCAATTGGGGAAATATGACAACACTAGCTCTAGAGTGCATTAGCAGTAAAGATGAGGCGAACATGTATTGGGATGGATTCCCAATACTTCCTTGATTTGACGCTTGGTTTGAATACAGCACTGCTTGCGCGAACCTTCATCCCGCCTCGCTCCTCCTGCCCTCCTCCTCATCCTCCTGCTCCTGCCTCGCCCTGCCTCCTCATCCTCATCCTCCTGCTCCTCCTCCTCCTTCTCCTCATCCTCCTCATCCTCCTCATACTCCATTCCTTGTCCTTACAGATAACCTCTCCATGTCGCACCCCGAGGCCAGTTTTTGGGGCGGGCCGGGCGTTTCGCCAGAGACGTCCTCCCCATTTATGATCCTGAAGCTCGCAAAGTGGCAGCAGCTTCACAGCTGGAGGGCGGGTGGTTTTCAAACTGCGGCTCTCGCCACAACGCGGTGCACATTCGCTTCAAACATTGGCAGAAGTTTTACGGATTGAGGGCGGGTCGTTTTCAAAATGTGGTTATCGCCTTGGCGCGGCGCACATTCGTTTTTTAATTTGCAAAAGGTTTGCGGATTGAGGGCGGGTGGTTTTCAACATGTGGCTCTCGCCTTAGCCCGGCGCACATTCGTATTTTTATTTTGCAAGAGCTTCAGGGATTGAGGGCGAGTGGTTTTCAAAATGTGGCTCTCGCCTTAGCACGGCGCACATTCGTTTCAAAAACTTTGAAAAATACGGATTCCCATCATCAACGTACCAGACAATGTGTTTTAGAAGGATTCAGGATTACGCGGGCGCAACAGTTACGTTGATTCTTTGTGTTGAAGTCATAGGAATGGCGTTATGGCACGGTTCTAGATCGTCAAGACGCAACAGTCAGGTTGATCCGTGGCTTTGGAATCCCGAGAACAATGTTTCGGCATGCTTCAGGGTCTTCAAACGGGTGTTTTCCAACGAGGCAGTTCCACCAATGGAAATGAACCTTCGTAGGGGCCTATGAAGAGGGAGCTTGGAGGGAGGGTTTACTCCAACATCGTTGATGATTCTTGGGTTTACACTCCTCCTCCTCCTCCTCCTCCTCCTCCTCCTCCTCCTCCTCCTCCTCCTCCTCCCTCCTCCTCCTCCTCCTCCTCCTCCTCCTCCTCCTCCTCTCCTCCTCCCTCCTCCTCCCTCTCCCTCTCCTCCTCCTCCTCCTCCTCCTCCTCCTCCTCCTCCTCCTCCTCCTCCTCCACCTCTTCCTTCTCCGCCTCCTCCCCCTCCTCCTCCTCCTCTTCCTCTTCCTATTCCTCTTCCTCCTCGCGGCTCCCTTGGGGGGTTGCGACTTGCGCAATTGTCGTTACTTATTGGGAGGTCCAGCGGGGTGGGGTTTCACGCAGACCTCGCCGACACCTCGCGGCGGGCTGAAAATTGCGTATTTAATTGATACCAGGTTCGTAGGCTCTTGGGAAGTCCGGCGGAGTGGGGGTGCCACGCAGATCTCGCCGAGACCTCGCAGCTCCTTGAGGATTGCGAACTGCGCAATTGTCGTTACGTCCGTGGGTTCCTCGGAGGTCGAGCGGATTGGGGCGTCACGCAGACCTCGCCGAGACCTCGCGGCTCCGTCGGGGGCGGCGAACTGTGCACGTGTCTCCACTCTCGTGGCTCCCAGGGGGCTGCGAACTGCGCAATTGTCCACTTTCGTTTCGTGTGCTCCTGGGAGGTCCAGCGGAGTGGGATGTCACGCAGACCTCGCCCAGGCCTCGCGGCTTCCTGGGGGCTGCGAACGGCGCAATTGATGCCGAGTTCGTGGGCTCCTGGGAGGTCGAGCGGAGTGGGGTGTCACGCAGGCCTCGCCCAGATCTCGCGGCTCCCTCGGGGACTGAACTACGCAACTGTTGGTACGTCCGCAGGCTCCTGGGAGGTCCAGCGGAGTGGGGTGTCACGCAGACTTGGTCGAGACCTCGCTCAGCCTTGTTCTGCGCAACTGTCGCCACTCTCGCGGGCTCTTGTGCCATTCAGCGGACCAGCGGAGTGGAGTGCCACGTACATCCAGACAAGACATCGTGGCTCCAGGGGGGCTGCTACCTGGGCATCGGAGGCTGGGGGGTGAGATCGCAGTGAAACGGAGACTCCCAACCGGGAAATCGTTTCGTTTCGTTCGTGTCGTGCGTGCGGGCGAGGCGAAGTTGCGTGGGCGCGCGAGAGGAATGAACCCGCCGCTGCTAGGGCGAAATCAAGACAAATGATTCTCCCCCGTCCGTCCGTCCGTCCGGCGGTGGCCCTAGCGGAGACCCGTGGTGTCCCGTGGTGTCCCGTGGTGTCCGCCGCTGCTAGGGCGAAGTCAAGACAATGATTGTCCCCCGTCCGTCCGTCCGTCCGGCGGTGGTCTGGCGGTGTCCCGCGGTGTCCCGTGGTGTGCCGTGGTGTCCGCCGTTGTTAGGGCGAAGTCAAGACAAATGATTGTCCCCCGTCAGTCCGTCCGTCCGGCGGTGGCCCAAGCGGTGTTCCGCGGTGTCCCGTGGTGTCCCGTGGTGTCCGCCGTTGCTAGGGCGAAGTCAAGACAAATGATTCTCCCCCATCCGTCCTTCGGGCGGTGGCATAGCGGTGTCCCGCGGTGTCCCGTGGTGTCCCGTGGTGTCCCGTGGTGTCCGGTGTCCCATGGTGTTCCGTGGTGTCCCGTGGTGTCCAGTTGGGAGAGATTGATAGTGAGATCGATAGTGAGATCGACAGGTCTCCCCTGGTGTCCCGTGGTGTCCAGTTGGGTGAGATCGATAGCGAGATCGATAGGGATATCGATAGTGAGATCGATGTGGTGCTCCAAGGTGTCCCGTGGTGTCCCGTTGAGTGAGATCGATAGTGAGATCGATAGTGAGATCGACAAGTGTCCCGTGGTGTCCCGTTTAGTGATAGTGAGATCGATGTGGTGCTCCAAGGTGTCCCGTGGTGTCCCGTTGAGTGAGATCGATGGTGATATCGACAGGTGTCCCCTGGTGTCCCGTTGCGTGAGATCGATAGTGAGATCGATAGTGAGATTGATGTGGAGTCCCGTGGTGTCCTATGGTGTCCCGTTGAGTGAGATCGAAAGTGAGACTGATAGTGAGATCGATTGGTGTTCCGCGGTGTCCCGTGGTGTCCTGTGGTGGCCCGTGGTGGCTGGTGGTGTCCCGTGGTGTCCCGTTGAGTGAGATCGAAAATGAGACTGGCAAGTGTCCTGTGGTGTCCCGTGGTGTCCAGTTGAGTGAGATCGACAGTGAGATCGATTGAGTCAGATGTTGGTTCCCCCCTCCTCTCCCCCCACAACCTCCTTATCACCCGAAGAGTGGTCGTATAGGTGTATTGCAATTATCGCGGGAGCCTGGGAAGTAGGAGTTGGTAGAGGAGGAGGACGACGACGACGACGAGGAGGAGGACGACGAGGAGGAGGCGGACGAGGACGAGGATGAAGACAACGAGGAGATGAGGACGAGGGCGACGAGCACGTGGAGGAAGAGGAGGACCAGGACGAGGATCAGGAACAGGAGCAGGACGAGGATGTGGATGTCTGGGAGCCTCGGAGGGCGGAAAGATTTCTCGGAGACCACCCGATCTGAGCAGGGGCTTGCCAGAGAGTCGTCTTGGGGTGCCTGGTGGCGACGCCATCCGACGCCTTGTCTCATGATGCGCGTACTCGGAGGAGGTCTCAGTCGACTCCCGGGGATTGGTTTGGCATACCCCGTCGCCTTTGCCCTGGGGTTTCTTAAGGCCCCTCGGGTTCGCATGACGTCTGGAGTCCTGGGTCGATAGTCAACCCCTGGCTCATTACTGCTGGGTCCGCCGCGATCGTGAGCAGGTCGAAAGGGAATCCAGCTTTAGCGACGACAGGCCTCGACTATCGAATATGCATCATCGAACCTTGAGCTCTCCTCTTCTCTTTTCTCCCTTCTCCGCGTTTTTCCTCGCACCTCCCTCTAGCAACTCTTACCGTACATCGGTCCCCTTACATTCTGACTCTTGCATCTTTTTGGCCGTGTGAGATTATGTCATTGAGGCTTGATCTGTGGCCTTTTGCTGACAGTACTCCGCGACCTCGAAAAATTCGGCGCTGCATCCGTGCACGACGCGACGCCCAGTTTAATTTCTCATCCGCGTCCATGATGGGACCAGGCTTTGTGTTCGATCGGGATGTGCGTCCCAACCTTCCTGTGTTGGGTTCTCGTTTTGAATGGAGCATTGCGGTCGCGTCTCCTCCTCTCCCTCCTCCTCTTCCTTCTCCTCCTCCTCCTCCTCCTCCTCCTCCTCCTCCTCCTCCTCCTCTTCCTCCTCTCCGTCCTCATGCCTCCTCCCTCCTGCCTCAGTGGGCGCTGCGAACTGGTGTCGCTATGTTCGCGACCTCCGGGGAGGCACAGCGGAGTGGAGGGCCACGCAGATCCAGCCGAGACCTCGCGGCTTCTTGGGGGGGTGCGAACTACGCAATTGTCGTTACTGTCGGTGGCTCCTGGGAGGCACGGCGGGGTGGAGGGCGTCTGTGTGCGTGTGTCTTGTGTTGTGTCGTGTCATGTTGTGTTGTGTTGTGTTGTGTTGTGATGCGTTGCGTTGTGTTGTGTTGCGTTGTGGTGTGTTTGTTGCGTTTTGTTCCCAACCATCCTGTGGTGTTGGGTCCTCGTTTTGAAGAGACGGTCCCCGCGGTCCTCCTCTCATCCTCCTCCTCCTCTTCCTCCTCCTCCGCCTCCTCCTCCTCCTCCTCCTCCCTTGTCCTCCTCCTCCTCCTCCTCCTCCCTCTTCTTCCTCCTCCTCCTCCTCCTTCTCCTCCTCCTCCTCCCTCCAGGCGTTGTGGTCCGAGGCGTCTTCTTCTTCTTCGGGACAGGCCCGCACGTCACCACGACCCCAGCCGCCGCGAGCCCGTGTTCAGCGGGCGGCGGTGCACCACTTCTCATGTCCAACAGCCCCTGCGCTCTCGCGGCCGCTGTCGCCGTTCACGCCCTGCGATGACCTGGCGACAGCCCGCGGGACGCTCGACACGCCGAGGGCGAGGTCGGCATCTCCCGCGTGGCCCCGCCGCTTGAACGACGTCGAGCGGAGGCCGGGCGCCTGCTTCAGCTCGACGCAGCACAGGCGACGCTGCGGGGGCATCACGGTTCGCTGGTCCCGCGGGTGGCATTTCGTCGTCCTGAGGATGCAGGTGGCAAGATTGATCCTCGCGGGCCATGCGCTGCTAGCAGGCAGCGTGGCTACCAGAACAGCTTCGCGGGCATCGATCGGTGCAACCGGTGCGGCCGCGACCGCGCTGGCAAAGCCGACCCAGCGGGACCTCCGCCTGATCACCGCTCGGAACGGTCCCCAGCGCCGCCACCTTGCAAGCCCAGCCAGTCACGGCGAGAACGTGACATAGGCAAGGGCAACGACGAGCCCGCCGAGGAGCCCGTCACCGTGTCCGACACAGTGGCCAGAGCTCGAAAGGCTTTGGGCGCTCTCCGTCGCCTGGGCCTTGTTGACGACTCGAGCTTCCTCGTGGCGGCGGCCCGCAAGGAGCTCCAAGAGGCGGAGGAGGTCGAAAGGGCTACGAGGACGGCCGACGACCTCCTTCGCAGGTCCTTGGACCGTCAAGCTCAGAAGTCTCGTGAGGTGGCAACCCTTCGTGAGCAGTATGGGGAGCTGGAGAAGGCGTCCACCCAGAAGAAGGCAGACCTCCAGTCAGCCGAAGCCGAGGTGGCAGTGGTGGACACCGAGGTCCAGCTGCGCGCACGGCGGTCCTCGCCACAAGTGTGCGGCCAGGGCCAGACGCCACGCAGACCGAGCTGGACATCGATGACGCTATGGCGCGCCTGGGACAGATCGTCCACGCCGCCCCGACGGTCGCACCAGGCAGCGGCGAAGTACACGTACAATCTCCCAAATAGCAGTACAAGGAGCTGCGCGGCACCATCGCACGGCAACGGGCCCATGGGAGAGGTGGCCAACCTACCTCATCCAGCGTGCCTGCCGCGCCAGCCATACTGACGGCCTGGGATGCAGCCATCCCCTCAGAGGACCGTGACGAGCTTACATATACATAGGAGGCGACAGGCAAACGTTAATTTCTTCTTCTTCACCTGAATGTTATGCCGCGACAAACAGTTGGCGGAAGCATTCACACATGGAGTCAGACTCCTGGGGCTTCCTCTAACAATTTGGACAGAAGTCTGACCAATCCTACTGGGCGCACTGCACTTTTGTCAAATTATTCGATAGAGGGGTCGAATCCTCGCGCTGGCAGTCGTCAAATTGAACAGACCACGGTTTTGGCGATGGTGTTGGCTCCTCCGACCACGCATGGCGTTCGTGGGATGTCCGTGCAATGTCGCACTCGGCCTCGCAAGTTTCGGCGACTTCGCAAGGTGAATCGGGGGCGGAGCGAGCGGTGCATGCCCATACGCTGCCCTCTCAGCCCCCGTCGTATCAGGTCGCCCCAAAACGGTCCTCTGGTTTACTTCGGGACGATGCCGGCTTTCGTGCTAAGGCGCGCGCTGAGCATAGCGTTCGCGCACCCGATGTCAGCCCAGGCGGGACTGCCCGCGACTCGGGAATGATTTGGCAAGGGGAGCCCTCCGACCTGACTCTGGGCGTCGGTGTCAAGTCCGAGCAGGGCCCCCGCGACCCGCCTCGCGCGCTGGTCAGCGGTCAACCGCGCGAGGGCTCGGATGCGGCATGTAACTCAGTTTCGAAGCAGAAGGTAGGTGACCCATGTTTTGTTGGGCAAGGCAGTCCTGTCGAGGGGCACGCGGCAAGACCTAGGCGCGCACCGCGGCCCCAGCAAGGTCTGGCATTTGCTGCGTTCAACATTTCGGGCGGGCCGCAGATGAAGGACGGCCTGAATCGCTGCACCCAGACCATAGTTGCTGGTCAAGAGTTGCACTTACATGGGTCGTCTCGGCTTCTTGCTGAAGAGTGGCGTCGCAAACAGGGCTGGCAGGCATTTACATCCGACGCAGCGCTCTCCGACGCCAACAAGCCAACTGGTGGAGGTGGTGTCTTCGCGCGCGGTCACATCGGCGCGGTGCCAATACGAGTTCCCATGACAGATCACACCTTTGTTGCAGAGCATGCAGTCTGCATGCAGGTGCAAGCTGGTCTTCGTGGCGGTTTGATACTTGCCTCAGTCTACTCGCACCAAGGCCAGCGCCGCCGCGGTGCGAACATTTGGATTATTTCGAAGTTGGGCGAATATTTCCGGTGCTACGAGCTGCCGATTGTGGTGGCAAGCGACTGGGACGCCGCTCCAGAAGTACTTCGCGAAACAGAGCTGCCCCAACGGCTAGGAGGTGATGTGGTCTTCTCTTCAATTGGCACGCATCGTGACCCTGCCTCTTGATTTCTTGGCGATTCAAATGACGAGGCCACGTCGAGCGCACGGTTTCCCACCGCGTCAGCACTGCCTTCGGAGGCGCCGCTGGCAGCGCGACCGAGATCGCAGCACGGGCTTCGACAAGTAGGTCCACGCGCATTTCCTCTCAAGCCCACCCCGTCAACTCGGGGGCGGGAAGATAGAAGCGGCGAACCCCGCTATCCTCAGAGAGGCGCTCCAGATAGTGACTGGACGCAGTTCATGAGAACTGACGCCAGCGGTGGCCACGGCGACCGCAATGCGCATTCGAAGCGCAGCGGCACCTTGAGTGCTGCTCTGCACCAAAGGGTGGAGCAGGAGCTCGTGCCACGATTTAAGGATGACAAGCCCGAGCCTGAGTTCACAGGCCGCCACGACGGGCCGCGGCATCGATATTCAACCGCGGGGAGGCGCCCTTGCGCGGCAGCAACCTGCGGGCACTCAGCAGCCACGCGCACTTCGCACACTGCAAGCACACGCGCTCGATCTTCGTCTCATGTGCGCGCGGGGCGACGGTCGACCAGATACGAGCACGCGCGGACGCGCCTTGTGATTTTCATGGGAAGGAGGGGTCGAGAACGGCACCCTCGCGGTAACACATCTCCCCCCCACACTGCACTTGGTCGCATGCATTATCGCACAGCCCCCGCGCATGCACCCGCACATGCCGCAGCACTTAGGCACCCTGCTCGGGAGGCAGGCCAAAGTTGACGAGCATCGGTTTGCGATTCAGCGAGGCAAATATTTTCGCGCACGGGCTTGCACATCGCTGATGCGAACACCAAGCGCAGCGCGTCGATGGACCAAGCCCAGGGGTTGGCAGCTCTCCACGGTAGACGCTCCCACGGGCCCCTCGAGCTCCCCTAAAGACATTGCGGACACGAAGCGAGGCTTCTGGCGAGCCATCTGGGACGGCCTCGACGAGGCCCCGAGGGGCGACGACAGCACCTCCCAGGACTCCGAGGACACGCCATTGGCCGACCTCAAGGACATCGTCGAGCGAGGGCCCCGATATTCTCCCCTACGGATATCGGACCTTCGCCAGGCTGCCTCGAGGTTCCCGTCGAGCACCGAGGTTGGGGCAGATCGGTTCAGGCCCAGGCATTGGTCCCTTGTCTCGAATGGCGCCCTCTCGCTCTTGGGGCACATCATACATTTATGTGAGACTCGGGGTATCTGGCCAATTTTGTTTCGGAACACGCACATCGTTCTGCTGGCAAAATCGCATGGGGAGTATCGGCCTACTGCGTTGCGGAATTCGGTTTGCCGGCTTGGGGCCAAGGCTCGTCTCGGGTGGACACGCTCCTGGGCTGCGAGTTTAGACCGGCCACGCTTGGCGCTATGAGCGCAGAAGTCGACCGCAGACGCGGCGGCGCGCCTGCTCGCGCAGGCTGAGGCGGCCACCACCTACACCGACAGCAGCCACACCACCGTCCAAGCACTTGATCGCGTTCCGTGAAAACGCTCAGCCGGCGCGGACCCGTCATTTTCCTGCACGCCTGCTCGTTCTCGCGTTGCAGATGTAAAAGAGTGCGCGACGGGCTGCACGGAATGGGTGCTATTCTCAGCCCGCATGGGCAGTTCGAGGAGCACTGCCAGGCTGGCCGCTTGCCACGTTTTGCCTCCAGTGCGCGATGCTCTCTCCATTTGATTCGCTCATTCGTTACACGGACAGCATCTCGAGGACGATCGACTTGCATGCAGATGTTATCACGTTAGCCATCATAGGTACCCCAATCAAAATAGGCGACGCGGCCGTCAAATTCTCAACTCTTCTGGCGGGCGTCCTTCAGGGCATGGAGCTTGAGCCCGTTAATCACAAAATGACCCCCACCTCCAGCAATCCTCTCGTCGGCAAGAAAGTTTTGGGCCGCGTGCGACATGCGGGGAATCGATATACCCCGGCATTGGGGGCCTCGGCAATCGAGGTCGCTGCAGTTCGCCCGCGTCGAGCTCGGAAACAGCGGGGTCGCGTCGAGACGGCTAGAAACGGACGGCACGAACTCTATTATGAATGGCAGGCGCAATCGTGGCGAGGTTTGCTCGTCAAGCGCTACCATCGGCCATGCAGCACGGGGCTGGGGC